CACACACACACACACACACACACAATGTCAAAACTTCCGGCTCGTTTGACGAAGCGGGTTGTTCGGCTGATGGACAGACTCGGCCGACAGACGGGCCGGCAGCAAGCCAAGCTGTTGTGAAACACACCATTTTCCGATCAGCGAGGCTGTCGAGCGCTTACTAATTAATTCGAGCCCCACAAGCTTGACTCCCTATCCCTTCGCACTTGTCTGCCGGCCCGCTCCGTTTCCCACCTGCTTCGGCCACTCCTTCTTACCCACCCACCCCCTCCCATTCACACCACTTGCCGTCCGCTCTTTTTTCATCATTTTTTGCTCCTCCTTTTATTTCGATTTTTCCCTTTTTTCTTCTACTTTCTGCTCAAGCGGCCGTTTCAATGTGCACATCTCCAGGCCCCAGCAAAATCTGATGTAGAGGATGTGGGGAAGATGGCCGCCCAATTGTCGTGTATGTGCATATGTGCTTGTGTCTGTGTGTGTATGTGCATGTAGATGGGTGTTTCACGTCTCCCTGGAATGGACGGGTGATGTACGGAAACTGGGTGAATTCTAAACCTTCCACTAATTGACTTGTAGCTTTGATCGAGACCGTCGTACCGCATAATCGCCCCACTGGACCGTCTAGACTGCCTGGCTGGGATCCATGCCGTTCTGGGCGTGAAGAGGGGGAAATTGAAACTTTTATTTACTGCTTGATTCATTCACGTGTTTAGACCGTGCAAGAGACGGCCTCACCTGAGACCACGGACGATTGACTGTCTCGTCAAAGGCTGCATTTTGGGCAGAGTGAACCAGAAAAGAGGGGAGTCTACTCGAACTATTGCGAAGGAGAGGGTGTAGAACTCGCGAATTTACTGAAAAGGCGAAAATTTTTGGAAAAATGTATGCAATTTCGGTCATCATGACAAGCAACTGGCCCAAGTTGAGCCGGGTTTCGCGCATGCAAATGCTACGATCCCCTGAAGGCCCTCTAGTCGAGTGGGCAAGCGTAGCAAAGTATGAGGGAGACATACAGAAACGACGGTCAGCGCTGCTGTGGCTGTAGACTCACAAGAGACGCACAAACTGGCCAGACCGGAAGACGACACCGAAAAGGAAGTAGCGCGCTAAAGAGGATGCAGAAAATGGAGCAAAAGGTTGCCTCTTAATGCTTTGATTTTTATTTAAGTCAGGCTGCGTTATCTGGTTGTGTGCATGCGTGTGTGTGTGTGTGTTTGTGCGGCCACGGCAGCATGGATTCCTGCGTGTATGTGTGTCTGTATGAGTGTGAAGGGGTAGGAAATGGATAAAAGCATTGCGTAACCGAGTCTGTTTTGAATGGGGAGTAGAAGTCGATCTGGAAGAAATTCAGGCCAAAGGGACAAG